AATGATGGATGAGTGGGGTGATAGGAGGGGGGGGGCGATAAATAAGGGATCGGATTACGTGAACAGACCAAACATGAGAGAGAGACGTGCAAACTAGTCAGAATCAATTGAAGATAGCTCCTCACCTGGCAAATCTCGTTGTGTCTGAACGAAAAGCGCCCCACAGTCGACCGAGACGAATCCAAATTGGACCGTAATGAAGCAGTTCCGTCGGATCGGACTGTGGAAGACGGAATTCGGAGAGTATCTGTTTCCATTTAGTCCCGGGGATACGATCCAACCGTCTTTGAATAACCAACTCCATCTGCAGAACATAGGGGCAAAGTGGTAGGAGTAAATTCTTCAGGGGAGCGTGAAACGCGCTGGCGGAATACAGTTGACTCTTTCAATTTGTTAACCTACCACTTTTCTGACATGCATAGATAATTGGTGGTGATGGTGGCGGCGGCAATGTGGAAAGATGATTTTAGCTCTTAGGCTTGATTATATAAAAAAAATCAGCCACAAAGTGAATCGGATCGCAATGGGAGTAGGAAACAGACATCACGACAGACTGAAACTTGAAAATAATCAGTGCCTCCGGTGAATTGGGGATTACAGATAAGCTAAATGGGACACCATCAGAGTAGCTGACTCGGCGAATTACAGAGAGCTAGATCGACGAATGGCTGCTAGTCAGTCATGCATTTCAATATAATTTATTTAATGCACTTCACTTGGTTTCTTCGACAGAATAAGCGAACTTCGTGGTCATAATGCACATGGGGGTTCAAAATGACATTCCCAGTGGCACCTAGTGTTTCTTTTGCAGGATACACTTCTAAATATCGCATTGTAAGATAGCAGTATATGGTTGCATGGTTGCCGTTGGTTCACTGGGAGTTCAATTGCTATTCAACAGGTATGGCTGTAACCTAGTGGCTCAGGTATCTCTGCTAATTTGACAGATTTCTTTCGCTGTTTGCGAATCGAACAGACTTCGTCGGTTCACCAAGGGGTAACTATCCTTGCATGCATTAGGTCTTCTAGTTGAGGTTTCAACTGTGTTTAACCTATTTGTCAAGCGACTCGCCCGGGTTGCAGCCACTGATGCATGCCTCAGTGTGGTGAAGCCAGTGGTGAGAGTTGGGTGAGCGATGTATTCCAATGGAGAATGATCAACCGCCAGGGACAGCATAATGTTACTCCTATCAGATGAAACCCAAACCTTGAAACTCAATATATCAATATATCAATATCTATCAGCATTGATATCAGTAATAACTTTTCTTGGTGCTACTTCATTAGCGACTAGAGTGAATTATCAGTTTGTTGCGGCGTCACAATCCTATGATTAAATGCACCTGGCTGATTTTTGTCACATTGAAGAAACAGACTACTTATTTTTCGGTCACTGATAAACCAAGAAAGATAATATGTGAACGGTTTAAGATGGAGGACAGTTAGCATTTGATTCCTTCTGCTGTATCGACAGTCCGGCGATCCAATTGGCGACGACAAATAAATGCGGTTGTAAAAGCATTCATGTCAGTCTGAAATGCTCGAATTCGGTGGTTGTGTCGTTCAATGATCAAGTCCGTTAGCACTGTTTGTGAAGTTGCATATTTGTCGGGGAGAGATATTCACACAATTCCCACGAAAGAATAGGGCGAATAAAACTACTACTCAATGCACACCGAAGAGTGATTAACAGTAAGAAGGTAAAAATCAATAGTAATGAAGGAAACTGGCAAGCTAGATATTCAGAATTCAAGTGAAGAATCATGTAGTGGCAGAGCGTATACACTGTATTCGGCCGGGGCGATAGTGAAGTTGTTTATCACCGAAGCTAAGTGGTGGCGTTTCATGGGTCAAACTTCGGGCCCGAGAGGCCCATATGCGAGTTATGTCTTTTCTTCATCACTTTTGGAGTGGGATGAGGAAAAGTGCATGGCACTGAAGTAATACACCTTAGGTCAATTTACAAACGCAACCGATATTAGATTGGTACCTAGTACAAATCGCTCAGATCATAGGCTCAAAGAAGTGACCATAGGACGAGTGTAAGGAGAAACACGTTTGGAGAAAGTAAGCTGAGTAGATGATTTTGGTCCCCTCAAGGGTGGTGTCGATTAATATCGATGTAGTTTTCAGTTGGTACAACCATGAACCATACACCTTCGTGCCCCGGTTTTCGTTACTTTCTTTCAGCTGTCCATTTGGATGAACAATAAGAGAAAGACGGGAAGGTTGAGGGTAGAGTCGAAGAGAAAATTGAAAACTCCGGTAAATTATGGCTGGTAAGAAATTGAGATGTACGAACGCCACTGTTTACCACACTCAGCCATATCACTCAGTGCACCACCACGAGGCCCCATCCAGGGAGCCTAACGGGACCTATATGGCCCAGACTCCCGGTTAGGGTTTTCATACTTTCGTACCAGGTCCTAGTTTGACCACCCTTTGCTTTATTCCATTCACTACCTGCCTCGACGAACAGCGCTTATCGTGGCAACTTATTTGGTGATATGCGTATTGACATCGGTAACCGTTCTGTGGTCATTGAACAACTTAGGGTACGAGAAACCAATTCATATGTACCGTGTTTTAGTAGCCATCGAGGCAACACTGTCCTATATAGGAAAAAGTTCGTTGATTTTTTCATGGACAACTCGTAATTACTTGTGAGTGGTGATAAGGGACAGATGACATCGTAATTCTAATTCTAATTGTAACTGTAACTTCGGTAGGTGTGAAGACTACATTTTATTGATCTTTTTCAATCATCAGCCTTCCGATTTGGTCTTCACACATATGCATCCCACGTGTGGGGGGTCTGGTCTGGTGTTCAAATCCCTGACAAACCGGTGGATATGCACGATTGATGAACCACGCCCAACATATCGGGGCCTTATGTGGTTCGCAATTGAAGTCCCGAGGCTTAGGTTGCCGGTTTCCACCACTGAACAGCAGGTTCTCGTGATTATGGGGTTCGCCCTGTCTGTTGTTTATCACACTTAGGTGTGTAATGAAAAAACAAGAGCGAAGCTGGCGACGAGTGATATCCAGATGTGTAAATGACTGAATGAGAGGACCGCGTATGGATGATTCGTCCAATTCATGTATTGTCGCTCATTTTGTATGGTGGCTAACGCAAACCTGGGATTTTGCGCATAAAACAAGAACATTTTCGTAAGTGTAGATGTGTTTAGGCACAGCAAAAAGCACTAATTACCCCTTGGTGCATGAGCATCAATCACAGTATATATAATTTCACCACGACTGACGACGGAACTGCGATAAATCAGTACACAAAATGAGAGAGACAGAGAGAGGAAATAAATACTAATCACAATAGCGGATACGTGACTGATTACGCGTTTTAAATGTACTGTATCATCTAACATTATCAAGTAGACCAGATAAACTAAACATAGTGCTAGAGACGCGCCAACAAACTAAGTGAGACAAGATCGAATGACTACTCAATGATAGCATATACAGGGGAAAAGAACTGACCAACTAACGAGGGCGCTTGAAAACAGACAGAGGGGATTTACTTTGCATTCGTTTGTTTCCAGTTGATAGATCAGCGATGCACTGGGCACCGTGTAGTTTGTCCATTCGGGAAGAACATCGCATACTCCAAACAGGCCTGTCAAAATGCCGTCCTGCAAACTGATTGTGATTTCCTGATGATTGTGCTGTCTCGAGTGATCCGGTGAACTGTTGGCAACATCTGAACAGGCCACATAGTCTAGGAGTACGCCACGAAGTGCGGTATGTTCCGTTTTGGAGGTCCAAAACTGCATGAGCAATCGTTCGACCACCTGGATTACATAAAGTCAACAGGTTGCTTCCAGCAGCGAATATGGTACATAATTGAAAGAGCGGACATCATAATGACCGACTAACAAAGCGTCTGGTACGAGGTGTCTGTAATGATATGCATATATAGTTTCTTAATAGAAAATGAGAACATACTCGATTCTCTCAATGATATTCCAAGTAATTAATAGTCATCCTGGGAGACAATTTAAAGTTAACAAGGGTCCAACCAATAACACGCACGAGCGGAACATGTGATGATGTAACTCACCGGTAAAAGAGGGTCTTCTCTTATCAAATCCGATGGGTTTTGTTTAACCCGTCCGGTATGTATCAACCATTGTAAACAACGTACAACTAATTGCTCGAAACCGGCCAGATCAACAGCAGCCATTTCATCCGGGGGCATTGGCAAGCGACCCTCAAACCAGTCGGACAGGGTAGATGCGGATAGTACGACTGCGCGCTGAAGACAATCCACCGCCATGAGGAGTACGATTGAAGGCGGAGTGGATGTGAGACTGGTTGTGCTTGGGAGAATACAGGAACCCGAGTGCAACAACGCTTCCAAGGCGCACTGGTGAAATGAAAGAATACAGGTGAATTTGGGTATTTGGACGGAGTATGCACATACAATCGAAGTAAACGAGACAAAATACTGATAAGCTAAAGCTAACTGAAAGGAAGATGTACGACAGAATGGAGTAGCATTTGATTGTTGGGAAACGGTAATCCAGCATGCCCTCTAGTGCCTCCGAAAGCCCGAAGATTGTTTGGAGTGGGTTTATTGAACTGTCACTGCGAAATGCTTCCGCATGACGAAGCGTTTCCAATAGACTCCGCTGATGAAACCTTACGGACTGCCTTCATGAGGCGGAAGTGCTTGCTCGATAAAGAGAACGAAAAGAGAAAATCTGGGGCCAAAATAGAATCATTAAACCCCTGAAAATTTATCTAAGAGAGTTGGTTAAAACCCCTGATCTCAACGCATCCAAGAAGAGACATCAACCTATACCTTTCAGACCACTTTCCATTACACAATGTGATTTACAGTAAAAGAGAAAATCCCCATAGTCAAAAAGCATACTGTAACAAGGGAAGAGTAGGGGAACTCAAGATTTAGCTTTTAGAGCAAAACTGTAAGTTGGGGGAAAGGTGGAGACTAAGTATGTTCCATAACTTGGCAGTTTGGGAGAGATGAGATGATTGAATTAAGAGGGCACATCTACTGCCCGAAATCTGATAAGGACGACCAGATGTCTGTGTACGAGATGGGTGGGCAGTGGTCAACGGCTCAACCGGGCATCGAGGTGTTTTGGGTACCTTAGACGACTAACCCCATTCAAAAGAGGCGTGAACTGAGGAATTGGACACCAGCCCCAACGGGCTGCGGTTTTAAGCACCACTACTCTGCTGCCTTGAAGAGCAAGCTTGGGCTGAAAGAAAGCTCCATTTGTGAATTCCCCCTAAGAAAACTGACCCGCTTTGGGTAACCTAGCTGTATTCCTCTCATTAGCAAATCGTTGACTAATTTCTTTGTTATAAATATTGATGTATCGTGATTCCTTTGGTACAGTTTGGACTCAATGCGTGTGAAATATAATAATAAAAATAATAAACGTCCTTTAGTTGATGTGTAGTTTTCCCGTATAAACGAGGAGCGCTATATGCGNCTATATGCGATGTATCGCTCACAGTTCGCAGACCAAACCACACCCTCTCCCTCTCTAACCAGGCATCAATCGCCATACTATGAACAAACGCAGTTGAACAACCTTGGCACGGAAATACTTATCCAATCACGGTCGCTGGTTATTCAGGATTTTACCTCTTGGATGAGCTCGAGTTGATCTATAGACAGATAACTTTACTTCGAGAAACGTCCCGCTCTTACCTTCCCCTGGTGGGAAGACAAACACAAATCGGACGTTTATAGGAAAACGAGCAGAAACGTAAGAACAGCAAGAGTGGAATAATCCATTGAAAGGATCGCTTACGTGTTTGCTTGGTATATCACAAAGTTCCACAATCATTCCGAACGTGTGACAGGCGTTCAAGACCAGTTGAGGCATATACGAATAGAAGCTGACCACGGCTGTGGATAAGGTTTGACTAAACAGTACAGTTTTTCGTGCGGTAGGTAGACAGAACATGAAAGCTTACCATAGATACGCCGACCGCAAATCCAAAAGTGTGATAGGATCAGTCTCCAGGTTTAGACCATTATCCTGCGGAACAATATTGTTTTAATCAAGAAAAAAGCAAGTAACCGCGCGAACCTTATCTTTGCTGGGAATCAATTGTTGTGCCTCCGGTAGAGTGAAGCAGTTCACGGTGAAATGAAAACAATCAGACTGTGCGCCCAAATCGAATCGATTCATGGCATGCAAAACATCTGAAACAAACACAAAAATCCAACAAAGGAATGAGATAACGGGCTAATGAACACACTCTTGGAAACCATGAAATTATGACATGTCTTGATTCACTTCAAAAAGCTGTTGGACTTAATAGAATAGAGCTTATTTGAAAACAGATGTGTTGTCAACAATAGGAAGAAGCATTGGTTTTGTATTCGTTCGCTCGTTGGAACCATCGAGCACTGCACGAAGATACAGTGTACACGAGGACATGGACCTATCCGAGCTAATGTAATCTAGAAAGCTCGTTCTATTACATGTAAGGGATCACAAAAAGAGGTGAACTCTATAACCTGAGGAGGCATTGTACATGGGAGTGAGATAAACGCCTGAGCTGGAACCAGTTTTTTTATTCTGAATTCAACGATGATGACAATGGGAGCCTATCCTATGTAACAGCTCTTCCAATTTACCACTCCAAGTCCGGAAGCCAGTTCTCATAGCGGAACAGTAAATTCTCCTGGATAACGAGTTCATACCTTGTACTGCTTACAAAGCAATGGTTTGTATCTCCTTGTTAGAATATGTCGGCAATGCATACTGCTTTTTCGTGTCCACACAGAAACGCCGATTTAACGTTTAATTTTTTTGTATTATATACTGTTATATGATGAACAGAAAAAGGAGTAAACCTCATAGTCACGAGGACCTACCGTCCATACATGAAAACTGGGACGTCTCGAGACCTGAAGAGGCGAAACACATAACACCTCACTAACATACGCATGGTATTGAGTTCGGCTACATCGAAGCTGCCTAGCATTAGAGTTAAGTGATGGTGGCGGGATTCAAACCTGGAGCCCTAGGGTCCCAAGTAAGTTAGTGCCAGAGACTTCAATAGTCTGACCACCACCACCACCACTGACAGAGTGCTGCGCGGGTCATATTATATCTGATGACCGGGTTAAAACAACCACCCCAAAAGCAAACAGTTACATCATAAACATAATGCAATGCCATTGAGAAAATATCAAGGAGTAAAACCGACCGTGAAAACAAGAAGACCATATACCGCGACTGCTGCCTGTAAAATCGAATGGGCTATTGAAAACACAAAATTCTGGCAGTGAGGTTTGTAACAGGAAACCTTTCCATGAAAGCCAGGCAACTAGAGTAGATGCAAAGTAAACATGAATATGTTTAGAATTCATCTTCATCTCCGCTTGATTAATAGTTTTTTTCAGTGAGATTCAAGGTCCTCTCGACAGTTATGAACGTTTCACAATGAAAACATCGAGGATGGTGTGTATATCAACAGTGTGCAGTAAGATTCAGCCAAAGTCAGACGGGACCTACCATTTAACAGTCGGAGCAGTCTGGTGGATTGACCGAGGAAAAGGTTCAAATGATGACGTTCCAACATCACAAGCACCTTGCGCATGATCACACTCACTGCGGACAGGTGGTAAGTGAATACCGGTCGACAAGAGATAAGCACTAGTCGATGCATACACCAAGTGACAAAACCTGGTAGGATTGAGAAAGCGGAAGGTGAAAAGATCTCTGATTGGAAATCTAGCTGGACATTTGAAATATACAAGTTAAGTCAAGTCAAGAAACGCTTTATACACCCAACAGGTGAATTTTCAACAATTTACGATTTTTACAGTGGATAAAACCAATTGCGAACAACAAAAAGACGATATAAGAAATTCTACAATTCTGTAAACGAGAGAAAAAATTAGTGCAAGAGTTTCAGCCTGAGGCAGGCGATAGTCTGACGATTAGCCAATAACCGAACAAGGTATGGAATTACACTGTTTCTATATGTGGAAGTGCGCGCATTAAGGATATTCAGAGCGAGTTCAGGGATTCGACAGGACTTTCGCGATATTTTTGTGTAGACAATGCCCTTGCTCATGTGTTATCCTGTCAATGAATGTATCACAAGCGTTAAGATGCTTGGAAATAAAGAAATCAATCAAAACAACTTTATCAACTCCACTGTAACGGGATAAAAGTTTAAGGGATCTCGAAAATAAAGTGAAGTCTTTTTCTTTCAGTCCAGGAATAAAAATCGGGGAGCAGTATAGCCAGTGTGGGAAAATACAGACAAGCACAAATTTAAGAATAAGATTATGAGAAGACCAGGACAGGTTATGGGTTAGGGTAACATCAGGGTATTTAACAGATACAGATCTGGGAATGCTCTGATTGTGCATTATGAGACCGGGAGGATTATTGCCAAATGAAAGATAACGGCGACCGGTTTTAAGACTAAATGGAACTTAAATGCACTTATTGATGTTTAGTACAAGGGATGGGGTCACAAACCAATCGTGAAGTCCAGTAAGGCTGTCTGTCCTGCAGGAGTCAAAAACTTTCTGAGCTGGGGGACGGACAACCAATCACAATATAATCAGCAATAAAGTTACTGGGAATAGGGAGATTTGGTATGTACATAGAAAACAAGGGGAAAAAATAGCACCCTGAAGAACACCAGCTTCATAGAAGACGACTGTGCCCCATTCAGTGAAGTAAACTGGGTCCTACGAGAGTTGCAGTCGATTAGCACATTCAAGACTTCAGATATCAGACCACACTCAGGAAGACGCCCAATAGGCGTACCTAGAAATCAGCTTATTAAAGGTAAGCGAAAGTCAAAAGATAAGCATAGCAAATGCCTTTACATCTAGGTATGAAAATAAGTGAACCGTGTTAAGTTAGGTTGATTATGATTCAAATCACTCTCGCAAATCTACATCTTTCGGTCTCTGTGGCACAGTGACAAGAAAGCAGGTGGATGAACATATTTTTTGTATTCACAGAATAACAATCATCGATTTTAATACGTGAGCAGCTTAAGATCCGATCGGGTAGGAGACAATAACAAAACTGTTCTAAATCAAGCAGTGAAAATATCAGACTATACCGCGAAAAAGCACGAGGAATGAACTCACTGTTCATTAAATTCTCGTTTAACGCTTGTGTCAGTTGATAATGACGGTAAGTAAATGTTCCTTCAATGCGTCCCAGTAAAGGCAATAGCCCAGCGTCCGGGCTGTCACCCATTCGATCCACACCGCCAGCGATTTCGTCAATAATGCAGTAGACATACTTGACGGTGTTACGAACGTCAACGCTACAAGGAAACGAAAACATAGTTACGTCTGTTTTATACAACGTATTATCAATGTTATCCTACCAGCAGAATACAATGAGATGAACTTCAGTAAACACTGCTAAGGTGAGTCAAAATGTTTTCAAGATGTATAGGATCTGAGCCATTTTGGTGGGAGAAAAAAAGTGAAACTCTATCGTCAACACACAAGGTACTCAATCTGAACGTAGATAAATACCTTTCTAAGCACAACATATGACTGGAACTAAAAACAGTTGTGCAGTTTCACCCCCGATCCCGCAGCCATCCATAAAGAGTATCAGTAAGATATTTGGTGTTAGACTGGTGAGAAAGATGGTTTTCCAAATGGGTACCTAAGACGAGCAGTTTACCGAGGCAGGTAGCGGTTGGAAAAAGATCAAGGGTGGTCAAACTAAAATCTGGCATGAGGGTATGAAAACCCTGACCAGGAGACTGGCTCACATAAGAGCCGTTAGACTCCCTGGCCGGGGACCCCAAGATCATGGTCACCGATGGTTAGAGACACTGAGTGACATGGCTGGCCATCGCAAACAGTGGCGCTCATGCATCTACTCATTATTCTTGTATATAAATGCGTTATCTTCCGCTTGAATCGCTATCAACATTCTAATCTTCATTCTGCTGTTTTATCCGAATGGGCAACCAAAACCGGCGCAAGAAAGTGCACGGTTAATGGTTGTAAGATCTGATCTGCTCTTGATGTTAGAAAGTCCGACAGGAAATTTAACGGGTGGAAACAGCTGGGTCTTGCAGACGAGAATCAATTGATCAAGGATGCGATTTTTAGCGGTGACCAGCGAGTCCATGCGCACAGCGCATCAGACTTAGCAGGTGGCGAGACTCAAAGGGGTTGGTCTGCAAGGACCAGAAATTTAGTATTGAGCTATAATTAAGCTACCCATATAGCTTACTGCTATGTGTTTAACTCCGGTCAACTTGCCCGTTGAACTAGAGCCTCATTTCACATTCCGCGACGGTTGGGTCGAAAGTTGGTGCTAACTGAGAACAGCCGATGATCTGTGCATAACTGAAATACCGGTCATTATTATCTTTTTAGTGGGCAATCCGAACCAAAAGACCTTGTAGTAATCCTTTAATGAACGGTTTCACTACCGCAGTGTTTTCTTCTTGTCCCATTTTTCCTCAATTTTCCTGGTAGATCCATATACGTTAGACGTGATCATTAAATTACTGAAATGAACCAACTTCAGTTAACACTGGCAGCAGGACAGGTTCAGTTAACACTCAATCTTGTGAGATTGAGAACTATCGGGGCATGGTTATGTAACCATGGCACATTCATAAGAACCAAGGTTCAGATATTCATTAATAACTTAACTCGTTGATTACATCAAGTTATTACAATAACTGAGATCTATGCATTTCTTCATGCCTCGTTTCCACGTCATCTGTTGACCTCCACGTTGTTTTCTACAGCCCGGAGCGGCTACAGCGAATAAAGTGCGATGTGTTAGACGGCAGCTTGGTACATGCAATAGGTGGCCTAGATAGCGAAGTCTACTAATCCGAATTCGACGTGCTAGCAGGTTTAGATCTGATAAACTTTCAAACAAACGACGAATTACCTCCAAATTACTAACCCGTTCGCTCCATCCCACGTGGGCTAAATTACGTAAACACTGATAGTCGAAAACTTCTAGTCAATGGATATCTTCTACTATCAACCATGAAGCAAGACTGAAGGAAAGCTAGCAAAATATACCCGACCTTTCACCTTTAGTGAAACGCCGCATCTAAGCCAAAGGTGTTTCGGTCCTGCAT